CTCCATCAGCTCTTATATAAATGGTGCTTATTGTGAATTTAAGCTACTAGGTTCATTGATCTCTTTCACTGAACTGTTTGGGTTTCCCAGAGCAAGTTTTGGGTATTCCTCCTTTAGGAAGACAACATATCCATTGGCTGGTCTTTTAGCTTCTTGTTTGGGCACACCGTTCTCTTGGTTTTCCTTGTGCTGCCTTTCGCTTTCGCCTCAGTACCTTCTTCAATTCTCTGTGAACACTTTGGGAATTACTGTTGAGTAGTTCACTCTCCTTTACTGCTCTTGCCTGTGCCAATGAGTTAGCAGGGGCATTGTCCAGTTTCCTTGGATTTACTTTGTACTGCTCGATGTCAGGAATAGCTTTGTCTTTGTCAGCATGTAGAACCTACAGCTTGGAAACAATACTAGCAAATCGAGTGAAACGAAAATTTTGTGAGGACTTGAAAACTGCAAGGGACCATTTCATACCCCTCTAGAGGCAAGTATAAATTATTAAGCTTAATTATTAATTCTTTTTACAATTTCTATGCACTGTTAAGCAGACAGTTATGAGATTTATGAAAAGTATCGACTTAGGGATATTGTCTTGACATAATAACAAATTCTCAGAACTACCCAAAAAAGATATAATTCGAATATAATTCGATGATACAACTTCTGATTTATCTTGTCCAATTACAAATCTACAAATAATTACATTACTGGTATTGTTCATCGAATCAGTGATTATTATAACATATAACTTCAGCATTTCACGTAATTGGATTCGCAAACTAAATGTTTGAAGTCCTCAATGAATACATGTTCGTACTGTTGGTCTCTATAGCTTTATCCAAATGCTTGTAACCCTTCTTCTTGACATGCATTTTTAATCTAAAAAATGGGAAAGTAACGAATCCTCGACGCGGAAGAATATTCTTTGTCCAATCATGACTGAAGTCTTGATTGATCATAATTTGTTGCTGAAGGTTGCTGTTCTAACATTCGTGCGATTTGGATCCGTGTTTAAAGTTTTTGGCGTGCAATCGTGTTACATTTCTGTTAGAGAAATAGTAGAACTTTCGCGCAATAAAATATAAGAAAGCTACACGCAACGTGCAATCGACGATCGAGTTCAATAGAGATTTCTCTCTCCCACGGCTCGCTTGTTTTTATCGAAGGAAAACCAATCACATTTCAGGCTCCAGTTTGTTACCATGACGTCGCTGTTGATAGTGTTACGCGTGACCGGGCACGACAGAGTAAGATTTTAAAGAGGATTTGAAAGCGTTTACCGCTAGTTTCCATCATCATCGTAATCATCATCAAATCTTTATTTGATAAGTAGGTTAAAAAATGGCAACTTTACAGCTGATGTGGACCTACTATATTATAAAGTAAAAGATAAATAAACGTTAAATAAGATAAATAAACCCAGAGTCAAGTCTTAAATAAGAAACAAAATGAATATAAATATAAATGTATCATAACATAACAGAAATAGTAGAGATTTTAATTCTTATTATAAACAACAGAGCCTCCCCCTTCCAAAATTTATATTTACGACATTATTTTTTGCCTTTTTAAGCCTGTTTTTAAGCCAGTTGAAAGAGAAAATAGAAAAATTTCAGAAAATAAACTTGGATCATTTGGAGTGAAAAAAAATCGAAGAATTTTGTTTTGGAACGCTCGTCCAACAGAATATGACGCAGAGAGCGCGTGGAAGAAATGGACAAGATTTCCAACCAAGTTCACGGCAAATGCGAACGGAAAATTTCGCCTACTTTTCTTCGTATCCCATAGACCGAACAGAGAAATACACAAATATCTTCTATTTATAATGAATGCAGATATTTCATATTACTGCTTTCAACGCTGAAAGGCCGACGACAAAGTTCAATTCTTGCAATTTGCCGTTCGCATACGTTGAGGCGGTTTACTTATTTCGCTGATTTTTGTGACTTAACAGTCAGCACCAACCCACGAAAATCATTACCATTTGCAACATCGGTTGATTGGGAATCTCTAAGAAAATTCGGCGGCGAAGATGTCTTGCAATAAATGCTCATGACCGTTCTCAATTGTTCTTCTCATTTTCTTTTAGTGACAAACTTATTGGCACGTAACGAATGGGTTACATGAATTTAGTCTATTTCCGTCATAAACCTATTAGACCTTGAAATGATCTTTCGACATGTTCGGGCAAGACTCATAAACATTTGTCGAAACAGGACTGAAGCTTTAAATCTCTACCAAGTTTCTTATCAAGCTCTATTCTCTCGTCAAGTAAGTTTTTGTCAAATCAGTTGAAAATTCTGCACCGTTTCAACTCGAAGTTGGTCAATTTAAAAACTTTGGGCAACTTTTCACTTGTTTTTCTTCTTCTTTAAGGGTTTCAGAAGCAGTGACGCTGTCGACGCTGGCTTCTCTTTCGTCTGTCGTTAACGTTTCACGATGATCTGGGGGAAAACTACATTATATGATGAAGTTTCGACATTCAATTCAGGTATGACAAAGTAGTCAATATTTAACAAAAATTCGTGTTGAGAAAACATGAAATGAAGCTCAACGTAATTTCTCTTAAGCTGTATTTTTTTTTTCTTATTTTTTTGTTCAGAGCGACTAGTGCAGTTTGAATTAGATAAACATGTGTAATTCAGTTTTCAAAGACCGAGGATATCTGTGCAAATAATTTACAGAAGCTTGTGAATATGCCAAAGTAGACAAGTATTGACGAGAGGAGAATCATTTGCGTTCCTCTACAAAGTTAAATATAAATTTTATTTACTACTAGTACGCATGACCTTGGAAACGCAAGTTTAGATAAAGTGTTTTAGTTTAAACTGTCTGGGAAACTGGACTACTTCTTTAAGAATCGTCCTTCCCGAGCGAAAATATAAACAATGCCAAAATATACTTCTCCTTCCCAGACTGAATACTGTTATTTACCCTAAGTGTTTTCAGCTGCAGCGAGACAAGTTTCGCTTAGGACTCGACGGGTTCTTAAAGAATTTATATTAGTTCCTGCGTGGACAGTGTCTCCTACACTGATCCATGAGTTCGCCTGCTTCTCCAGTTCATTAAGACACGTACGAGCGAAGTCAGTTGATCGCCATCGCGCTAACGGTTTCGCAGAACGCAACCACTCGATTAGACATGGCTCAAAGTTCGCTCAAAGGACATAGTAAGCGAGCTTGTTTTAGTAAATACGTCCGAAAATACCGCCAATACTTATTTCAGCGTTACACTCGGCCTACAGCTCTTGCTTGACCAAAAACATTTGTATGGAGCCCGTCAACGCTTTTGAATAGGGAATCGTCAGAAGTTCAAATTCTGATTAGCAAATTCCTACGTCAGCAGTTTTACAATTGTGTACTTAGTTGCCAAGCCTTTGATTTGGATAGACAATGAGGTCATTACAGACCAATACCTAGTTAGCATGTCAACAAAGTAATCCATATTTGGCAAGGCTTAGCAACCAGGCACACAAGCCTTTTTTCAAAATGGACGCTCTCGAATGTGACTGGTGTTTAAATAGTTTCGGTCGACTGGAACTGCTTGACGCGAAAATTTCCGACAAGCATATCGGCTCTGAAGAATCTAATACCGTTTCTTCATTTTCCCACCACCTTTCTGTAACTACGATCTTCAATGATGTCAAAACCCAGTTTATGTCAGGCTTGGTTAAAATAGGATGGGCTGAAGGCAAAAGACTAGTTTATCTCTGCCGCCTTGATTACATCGTGGGAAGCTATCCATTTAAAACTTCAGGACTGGAATTTGAACGTCGTAAAAACCATTGGGTAAAAGTCGTGTGTGGAACATCCGAGTGCAAGAACCCTTCTCGTAAGAAACATTTTAGGCCCGAAGTAGTGATATCAATGCGTCCAGTAAGTCCCGTCTGTAAGAAGAAGAAAAAGGAAAAAAGAAAGTTCTGGCAAACTGGATGCAGGAATACAATGAGAAAGCGAATCAAATTGAAGTAAATGCGTTTGAACGTTGTTGTAATGACATGATTCAGTTTCTGTGGATGGTCTCAGGTCCAGATCTAGTTGAACTCGATAAAGACGTCATCTGGCCAAACTGGATGTAATTTTTTATTGTAAGAGATAATGCGTGGTGCAATGGAATTAATCAGTATAATGGCGATAGAAGCTGGTTGTAAATTCGATATGTGTATATTTGACATCATGTTGAATCACAGCTATTTTCCTATTATGAAATATGTACAAAAAATAGCGTATAAGGAATTATGCTCGAAAATTATTTCTAGCTCTCCTATGGTCCTAATTAAGCTTTCCTAACAATGTTGTAGCATAGGCATTTTGGAAATAAGGAACAAAATCATGTTCTGCAAGTCCATTTCTAACTGAATCAAAGCACCGTGCAATTAACTGATATATTTAATCTTGACGTATTCCGAAGACATTTTGCACAACTCGTTCAGTCAAAAAACCGTCTCAGGAATTGACCTATAATAGAGAATATGATCATATAATTTCTTCTAATGAAGTATGTAGACCAATGCCAGTAACATTTTCAAAATTCGGTAGGACAAACATTCGTACAGAAAAACTCCCCATTCAAGATAGTATGATAAAGTTAGGTACAAAAAAATGGCATTTCTAGGCGAGTAAACAGGCTTGTTTTAACTCTCTCCTAATTGCTTCGCTTTTTAAAGCCACTGTAATGAGTATCCTTCTTTGAGGGTTACCCAAGTGAAGATAAAGGGTGATGAGACTTCCTTAATTAATTCCTTCAGTTTTCTTTAATGTCTAAAAACTATATCTGATCGGATTTGCAAAAACATGCCTCACATGTTGCAAGATTGACAGTCAGGTTCATGCCTTGATAGAGCTCAGATAGTGGGTGAACACCCTGTAGTTGGAGGGTGGTTGAAAGTCCAAAGCAGTAGGCTTAGGAGAGGTCGCAAAATCCTCATGGCTAGGGTTAGGAGCATCACCCGCCATCAAGCCAGGTTCGCCGATAAAAATGCAGAGGGCTTAACGTCAAGAGTAATGCCCGGCATGCAGCCCAGCCACTAAGCTATCCAAGGGTGGGTTGCAAATGGCTCTCTGTGGAAAGCTCAAGGGGTGGGGAGGGTATGTTATTGGACCCCTTGTCTTACTGGCAGTTTTCTATGAGGCTGGAAGGGACTTGTCTTATTCATCTTGTTTTACAGCCTGCATGGTGGCCAGGCTTGTACCCTTTCACACCTTAGCCACTGTTGGTTGCTGTTGGTCAGTTGGTTGCAGCAAATCCATAAAAATAGCCCATTAAGATTAGTTTGATGAAGGTAGAAGTTCTCCCAACAAAGCATAAGGATGGAGTATGCAGTCATGTAAGGAGAAATTGTAAAGAATGCCAGAGGCGTTTCAAGGGTTGATAGAATGGGGTTGGTAATATTCCTCAGTTATTGTCGAGACTCACCGAAATCAGGGGGTACTCGAAACAGTTACTGAGCAGCTATGAAATTTTGTGCAGTGGTCTTTTTGGTTTATCTAGCCATTTGTGCCGATGTAAGTGAGAGAAAGAAAAATTTCAAACAAATTTTGGGCAAGTTGTCAGATCTTGAGGACTTGATAAAAAAGAAACAAAACTGCTGTAGGGTGAGTGGGTAAGGTCCAGAAGATCGTTTCTGTTGTTTACATTTACTTTTCATCATCGCTTTCAGGTTGCCTGAGGGTTTGGAATTTCAGTTGGATAAAAATTGGTCGTTAAAATGATGGCTTGGAATATCCGCATTTATCTACTAGTGACTGATTGCTTAAGCTTATCTTTAAGTTGGTCTCTCCTCATCAGTACGGTGGCCTATTGGGGCAAAACACAACTCAATTTCTCTTCTGAAACACAGTAGTGTTTTCCAGAACACAAAGAAATCTTCTGAAACACAACAATCTTTTCCAGAACACAACGGAATTTTCTGATACACAAAAGCAAGCTAAAACACACCAAAATCAAAATTTCAAAGTACTGGGCCGGGTTGTTCAAAGCTTGATTAAGATAACCCAGGATTAGTGTGAAATTTGATATCATATTTGAAAGCTTAAAAAAAGATCTAGCGTAATTTGTTTGTCTACAATGTTATGACTGCATGCTCTAAAGAGAATCCAGAAAATCATCCCAAACTGGCTTTTGAACAAAGGAATTGAAGAAACCGTGAATAAATTTTAATCTTAGGTTAGCGCTAATCAGCTGTCGAACAACTGGGCCCTGGTAACTAAACCTGTCGCTAAAAGCGTCCAGAACCTGGAACTAGCTCTGGCTAAGGCGGCAACGAGTTTTGAACCGTTCGTGTAGTGGATTTGAACTAAATTGGCTTCTTCAAGTTCAGTAAGCGATCATCCAGAAGAAGAAAGCATAATCTCGTATCAGTTTTCAAGAGGATATCACTGAATTTTTAGTTAAGTGTCATGGCATTACGATGTGTGTACTGATCAGATTGACAAAATACCAGTTGTAGGTTGAAGCATTTGACTTACGTTGTTCAGGAACAAATTATGAATGAGCTAAGAGGCCCAGGCTACCAAGGTGGATATAGAAGTATGTGGCATACCCTACGACTTAAAAATATTCAAGTTCCTAGACATTTAGTAGCTGAACTTATGAGGGAAATGGATCCAGAAGGATGTGAGCAGAGGAAGGCAAAAATCCTCGAAAGAGGAAGTTACTTCTTATCTGGTCTAAACTACACATGGCACGTCGACGGATACGACAAATCAAAGCCTTATGGATTTCCAATTCATGTGTGTATTGATGGATGGAGTTGAAAATAATTTGGCTAACAGTCACAAGGTGGCAAACAACCATCCAGAAATTATTGCCAATGTCTATTTGAACTGTGTTGCAGGGCTAGAAAGCTGTCCAGTGAAACTGAGGACTGACTGTGGAACAGAAAATAGCGTAATGGCAGCTGTGCAATGTACATATCAACAAGATGCAAATGTGCACAAGTATGGGTAATCTCTGGTGAACCAAAGGATTGAGAGCTGGTGGGTATTTTATAGATTGAAGAAACAGTTGTTTTAAAGCATGTAGGAAGTGGCTTGAGCACGAAATAAGTGCTTGAGTGCTCAAGCTGCTTCTTAACCTTTAACTCCCAAGATCTCACTATTAATTCTCCTTAGTGTCTGTTATTCAGTTCTTGTGATGTTAGTTTTGAGAATTTGTTATTGCATCAACTTGTAATCCACTAATTGATATTTTTGTTTATTCTTGTCACATGTCTGCTTGATATTGTAATGATATTGTGAGGAGAAATTCTGTCTTGGTCACTCATGGGAGTTAAAGGGTTAAGTGCTTTACAACAGAACAGAGCACTGTCAAGGCTTCTCTATTTGTTTTATAGTAAAGAATCCATTAAATTCTCCATGCATTGCTTTCAATTTTCAAAAAAACTTAAGGTGATAAATTATGATTGGTCCTTAATAGGGGCATTGTTTTTTTTAGTTTTTGGTACTAAATTTATCTTCCATCTAATTTTGCCCACTCCTGTTTGTTTCACAGTGCCTCTTTTGAGTCAGTTTTTGTTTTGTTTTGGAGGAGATCACATTAATCCATTCTAGATATAATGCAGTTGGTTAAAATGCTTTCCCAGTGTTAATACAGTAAAGATATTGCAGCACTTTGTATGGCACTTTTTATAAACAAGAATGTCCTCTGAGATTTTCTTAAGTTCATGGCTTAGCCTTTTGTGACTTTGAGAGGAGAGTGACTCTTAAATGGAGCGGGCATTTCAATTGAGTATATAAAGTAATCATAGAAGACAATGGCAATGAGCAACTAATAACTCCAAATTAAAACAAAAATGAAAACAAAACATGTCAAATAGAATGACCTTCCTGCTTGATTCAGGGTTAACATTGTAGAGAGAAATTACATGCTAGTCAGCTCTTAGTGGTTAAAGGATGAAGTCATGATTGGGTTAAGACCAGGTGAGAGATTGTTGCGTGTTAGCTGAACCACTCATAGAGCAAAGTGAAGTAATACCAATGCAATAGATACTAAGTTGAAAATTTTGTTATCTCACAGGACACCTTCAGTTAAGATTCAAAAGTGTGGTCTTCCAGGTCTTCAGTCTCTCCCTAAAATGGAGTCACGGGATTGGATTACTTGGAGGCCATGTTACTAACCTACTGAAGCACTTCCTTCACCAAGATCTGCCTTGGCATGAAGCTCAATGGGTTAACCAGGTCCTTGGGAGTGGATCAGGAAGCAGCCTCACTATGTGCCCTCATTGCTGGGGACAGGTTCAGCAGGGTGCAAATGGGTATCATTGGCAATGGACAAGATGGTTGCAGTTCCCCTGACTCCAGAATAGGATTTGGTTGAGGAGGATCAGGATACAAAAATGCATAAGGAAAAAGCTTTGTGGAGGGCGGACAATGGAGACAAAAATATCAATGAAGGTGTTTGGATACTGAACTGCTCTGCTCAAGGAAAAAGCTGCCTGCAACATGGAGTAATGATCATGCTCTAATTTCAGTAAAGGGATTTTAACCCTTTAACTCCCAGGATCCAATTGTCAATTCTCCCCTCTAGCTGCTACACGTTTGTCTTTAAGTTAGTTATGAGGATTTGATGGTAGATCAAAATGACCTCTACCTGATAAGTTTGGGTATTGTCATTACCTGTTTACTGGATAATGACTGAATATTATAGGGAGAAGTTACTTGTTAATCATTTGTGGGAGTTATAGGGTTAAATATGGGTTTTTGCTGTTAAATGATGGGAAAATAAAAGTGGGTCAGTGAATTAAAACAGGTTTCTCTTTGTATTGTAGTTACACAAAGGAAAATCTGTCTTTCTCAGGAGATTTATCACTTTTACTGTCACAAGTGGCCATTAAGTTACTTCTCCTTTAACCCTTTAACTCCAAGAAGTGATTAACATGTAACTTCTCCCTATAATATCCATAAATTGTCCAACAATCAGGTAATGAGAATACTCAAACTTATCTGGTAGAAGTTGTTATCTTGATCTAGCATCAAATCCTCATAACTAGCTTACAAAGAAATGTGAGGCAGCTAGAGTGGAGAATTGACAATTAGATCTTGAGAATTAACAGGTTAACATTTTATCCACAGGCTGTCTGGTAGTTGACAATTTTGAATTAAATCAAGTTTTTAAGTGAGGGCCAGACACAAACACTTAAATTACAGAAAATAATTGGCAGACCATGACAATAAGTGACCAGTTCTATCGCCGAGAGAGGCAGGGGCAGAGATGATTTTTTGGGGATCACATGGTTTTCAGGTGAATGGTGAGGGGATCTGTCATTCACAAATAGACTATAGAGGCACTGTAGAAAATGAGTGTTTCTTCTTTTGTATTTTTCCCATTCACCCCTATTCCCTTCTTTAGAACCTTACCATACAAGCCACATTTACCTGATAGGGGTTAATTGTTGAAATTCAAGTGTTCGAATGTAGGAAAAATGCATGTAGCCCAATATTCCATTTGAATAAGCTTTGTTGTTGTGCAGCTGTAACCTGATATTTCATTTGAATAAGCTTTGTTGTTGTGCAGCTGTAACCTGATATTCCATTTGAATAAGCTTTGTTGTTGTGCAGCTGTAACCTGATATGTCATTTGTATAAGCTTGGTTGTTATGCAACTGTAGCCTGATATTCCATTTGAATAAGCTTAGTTGTCCTTAGTTGAGATGACTCGATACGCATTATCGTGAGTAAAATTAAAGAACAAATTTTGTCAAGGATGGAAACACACCTCCAAGGGCTTCTTTATTTCAACAGTTACAAACATTACTTAAGACATCATTTTCATAAAAAGTTCTCAATCTAATTCAGTGCAGCAGCTCCTGAGATGATCTCAATCAATTCCCTTGTAATCACAGCTTGGCGAGTTTGATTGTATGTCAGAGTCAACTTGTCAATCATTTCACCTTTAAGTTCAGATCTTGCACCAAGATCACATTAGTAATTCTCCTTACTGTCTACCATACAGTTCATGTGATGTTAGTTTTGAGAATTTGGTATTGGATCAACTACTAATCCTCTAACTG